ATTCCAGTGAACGTGAGAAAATAAAAAAATATGAGCTTTTGTAGATAAGATACACTGTATTTCCAGCAAGACTTTGGCTTTATATATTATCACATTTGGAAGAATAATGGTGTGCTTTCATCCACAAATTAAAGATTTGCTTTCAACAGCCTGACTACACCAAGTTGTAAAAAAACAAATTTTTATTTAGTTGATAAGGAGTTCAGTGCACCATTACAATTTTCACCAGGTTTTTTAAGTAAATATTCTGGCAAATAGAACTCTATGGGAAAGCACAGCTAACCTGCGGGTACACTGCGCTTCTCCCACGCTGCAGTCAGACCACACCGTATGAGTATGAAAGCAGCTTAAATCTGTATAGTGGCTTCATGGCTCCTCACTAGACCAACACTACAGGCACATCACAAAAGCTGCAAAGGATCTACTCACTCAGAAACACATGCTATGTTCTTCCTGCATTACCCAGGGATCCATCCCATTCTGTTCCCCAACAAACTGTCCACTTGCAGCACTGAACACCCCTTCCAACCAACAAAACGATGACTAGTACATCTCAAGTGCTAAAATGATAATTACCATTGTATTACATTTTTGTTATTTTAGAATAGGTGAGGCCTGAGAGCTGCCAGGGATTTCCGAATATGTATATATTTATATATGTACATATATATTTATAGAAAATTCCCTATATAATAGGGAGCAGTGTTGACAGACCCGCCCAATTGCGTTCAGCATTAAGTCCCAGACTGAAGAGCTTCAAAGCCTCTCTCTGAGCTTACTACTATAGCCTCATCCACCTGCCCTGAAGAGGAAAATAGCATTTCACACTAATGTGTGACAAGAGGATTCTGGGGTTATACTTATTATCACTCATACACTAACAAAGGGGTTACCTCTAACCTGCATTCTGCCAGTGCACATCTATTTTTTGTACTCCTAACCAGGTATGTTTATAATGATTCTGCATCTCATTATAAACACATAAAGGCAAAACATGCAACAAAATCCTACATGTATGTTGGAAGATATCATTTGATAATAAGAATGGCAAATCAGCATATACCTGCCTCAGGCAGTATGCTTGTTTGCTTTCTTGCATGCAAACGCATGCCAAAATAATTCTTGTTTTCATTATGAATACATTTATACAGCAGAGTAACAGAATTTCAGTTATTTAAGGCAATATGTGAGGAACTGTTAGAAAAATAAACATTGATAATAATACTTTCATGGATTTACATAATCAAACCACCTTATTTTAGACGATCGCCAGGAAAAAGTTTTTAAAATCTCCTACACAAGGAGATAACGGGATATTTAAGGCAATTTTTCTTAAAATAAAAAGAGGTTATGCTTACAGTACCTGTTCTGTGCAATGATATCGCACTGAGTAGTTGCCTACCTCCTTTTTGGCGGTCCTCTGCTGGCGCTGTCCACTCCTTTTTCTTCTGAGTGCTCCCTTCAGCAAGCTGTATGCTAAAGGGGAACCCATGTAGGCATGCTCCTGAGCCAGGCTGTGTGCATCCATAGACACATACAGAGTCGGTAAGCTATGCCCCTGCTCCCTCCAACAGGAGGTTGGCTGACAGCAGCAGGAGCCTATGGCTCTTGCCATTGTCTCCTGTGAGACCATGAAGAGAGAAGAGCAGTGCTGCAATGCTGGAGAGCTGAGAGGCATCTGGTAAATGTTTAGGAACTGGTGGGAGGGAGACAGTGGGGAGTTTTTTTTAATGCAGGAAATGTTTAGATACAAGGTGCTCCATTTTGCTCATTTTTCTGTACAATTTACTGTTTTAAACAGGGTATACACGGAGAGTTTTTTTTCAGTTTTTTTCTTCCAGCCAACCAGCGAGTTGAAAGAAAAAAAAAAAAAACTGACAGATTCCCACATTCACATTGCTGGTGGGCGAATCTACCTCTGCTGCACTATTGTGTTCCAACAGGGGGACTGTAGGGGGGAACTACCCCGCTGTCAGAATACACAGATCAGAGCTGCAGCCGCCGGCTGCATACATTGATTTCTAGTTTTCCAGTAGGACAAGATCGGCTTCTATTGAGCAGACAGACACATACACACACAGATAGAAATTCATCTGGCTCCTGCTGAACTGGTCCAATTTTGATACGTGTATGCCCTGCTTAACTGAGTGCCAATCGAATCGCTTTACTTCCAGCTCTTCTACAGGTGTCCTACATGGCAGCCATAGTATTGTTTGCAAACTGCACTTCCTGCCCCTCCTTTCCCCTTGCCAAATCACAGAACACTCTGCATTCTGTAAACCCAGTTGCAAACTCCAAATTTCTTTGTGAATGGATAGGGGAGAGGAGGGGCATGCAGAGCAGCTGTTGTGTAGAAGAGCCATATCTCTCCCCCCCTGAGCCTGATAATACTGAACGCTATACTATCGGTGCTTCGTGAACCAATAAATTGTAAACAGAAAAGTGAGATCCATAAACCTCCTTGCACCTAACTCCTTGTATGCCAGCAGATTTGAAATCATCTTTAAATACATCTCCAGTACATACAATCCCTTATGTAGGTATAAATGGTATTTAACTACATTTTTTGTTACTTTCACATCTAACAAATTTCAAGTAAAAATAACCTTTAATTATATAAGGGAAAGGCTAAGTATGAAATCTGGTGATAACCTATTTTCATGATTCTTCTAAACAGGGATATAATTACTCTATTTGGCTTATTTAGTAAGATCTTACATAATAATATTAATGTGTAAAACACAGTAACCTATAGCAACCATTTAGATTTCATTTGTCTCATTATTGAAAAAAGAATGTTGCTATGTTGTTAAAAAGAGCTCATAGGAGTACATTATACATGATGAGGCAAGACGCAAAAAGGATCTAAAGCAATTGTTAAATTCTGAAAGATACTGAAAGATCATGGTTTCATTGTTTGAAGTACCTACAATGTCAAAGGATTGTATGGATTATTAGAGTTGCTCTTCCTTGTATCAACAAAAAGTATTTAGAAAATTATACCTTCAGCCAAACCTTTTTTTGTCCTTTGCTGAGACAGGATACCTTGTTTCCCTTAACCTCCTATCTCAAGGACAGAGACAAGAAATTAGGGGTGAGGTCTATAATGGGAACACATACAGCAGTTTAATAGTATTTATTTTACTGTAATATTATTTTCTTGGGCTCTATTGAGAGACGCAGGAAATCCTTAAATTTCGGGTTATGCTGCTGCCTACAAGAAAACTTTGTAGACCACAATGGATTGTTGATAGCAGGTTAGTATCGATCGGGGATGGATCGAGGATTGAATTTTCATGGATCTTTGAAAGCAGAAGGAAGGGAGATGCTTCCTTGATGCTGTATTATGGGAAAGAGACACAGACAGCATTAACCCCTTCTGAGGTAGAAACCGGTGGGAATGATGAATTAAAAGGCGCGCAGCAACCTATACAAAAGAGGCAGCTCCCAGTGATCAGGACAACAAGCCTACTCACTTAGTCTTTAGAGACATGGGTAAGCGCTGAGGCAGTGTCATCAGCTTTGAACCTGGAAAGCCTGGAAAGAACAAAGTCTGGAAAGTGCCCCATGCAGAACCCAGTGCATTTCCAGACAATCACTGCAATATCCAGCCCAGCGGCATCTGGATACAGTATTTCAAAATATATGCAAATTCTCATCACGTTTGTATGTTTTTATCTATAATATGGTATAATGTGCTAGGCTGTGGGGAGCTCTTGGTTTGTCTTTTTACAGTATTCCAAAAGCCAGGCTCAGCATGACTGCACCAGATAGTTGCAATTGGAGCAGTACTGGGACACATTCATCCAGCGCCCAAGGCACGTATGCAGAACTGCACCCCTCCCTCTAATGCATGCAGTAAAATTGGTGTACCATTAGGTGCCCATTCTTTTCCCCCCTGTGCCTGCTATCCATGGTTGGCATGGAATGTGCACTTCACACATGTGGCCAATTGCTTGCTTTCTTGAGGCTAGAAGGTAGTTGCACATGCATGGTGTGTTTTTGCGTCAGCTGTGGGCAGATGGGGCAGAGAGTGGGTAAGCTGGAGCACAGTGTGGCAGCAGTAGCTGTCAGAGCAGACAAAGCTGCAATCCCCTGGTTCCTAGTCACTGATCTGCAGCTTGCATGTGGTGAGGGGGAACCCTCCCCTACTGCTGCACCCTGCGTGGCTGCCCCTCCTGCCCACCCCTTGTCCCGGCCCTGACTTGGAGAATCAAGCTCTAGCAGCAATTTGAGAAAGAGCATTGATTCAAGAAAAAACAAATTGATGAAAAAAGTGCTAGTAAAACACAGGTTAGTTAACACAACAGAGCTAATCAAAAGATGACACTAGCAACAAATTGAGACAAGCTGGTAATGGAAGGGGATATCCTGTGCTTGCCAGAGTCCAGTCCTCCTGAAGGCAGCAGTATATTCCAAAAGTTAAATACTTCCTTTGTCCTCAGTGGTCATAAAAGAAAAGCACTCTTGTGATACAGTTTTATAAACCATTTTGTTATTGCTGTCAGTTTTACCACTAGACCTACTTTTCATTTGCTTTCTTTAGTCAATGAGACAGGAAATGAGGGGAAATCTCCCCTGTACAGACCCAGACAGTGATAAAACCAGACCAAAGTTCTAGCTCTCCTCCAGTCTTTCCAAAATGAAAGCATATTATATTTTAGCTGAAGTTACACTGGAATTGCAGACCATATCATTGCAAGATAAACAAAACATTAGTTCATACATCATTTAAAAAAAACATTAAAAAGAAGCCTAACAGGTAGGAGGAATGCAGTACTGAAATTACAGGGAAAACAAAAAACAAATTCAGCAGTGCAAACAAGTGCAGAATATCTTGATATCGTGTGCCTCAACCCTGGACAGTACTGGATAAAATTTGATACTTTAGCTCTAAATGTTCCAGCATTTCTTCTAGGAGCATTGGATTATGAGTACACCCCGTTATGTCAGTAATATTGTCAATAGTGCTTGGTACAAATGTCTGCTCCAGCTTCCCATCACCACAAGACTGCACAGTCCATTTTGGAGAATCCAGGATCTTTCCTTAGCTGCCAATAAGTGCCATTCGTTACCCATGAATCATCACTTGATTTCCTGCAGATGGCACAAAAATCACCAAGATTACTCAAGAAACAAGTGATAACTAAAACAAGAAATGGGACATCTTCATATAATATGCATTTAATATAGGATTTCATTCTCTTTTTTTGCAAATATAATTTCCTCCCAAGGTATAGGAAACAACCTTATCCTACTGTACCAAACTTGTTGTCAGAGCAGAGGTGTGCAGGAAGAGTCCCTGCAAAATAGTAGCTGACTCTGCACAGAAGGTTAATAGGACATATTCTATATTATAAACTCACAATATGAATATGGCTTAGAACTACATGTTGTACATGGTCTTAACAGCCCTTCTGGTGATTTATAGGCCTTTTAGAACTGGTTAAATAAAAATTGTAGTTTTAGTAAAATATAGTATAGCACTTTCCTACCTGGGGACTCAACGTGTATTATCTGCTGTTGGAGCAGATTATGAGAATACCATGCTAGGGCCAATTTAACACAAGAGTACTAATTAACCTACCAGCAGGTCTTTGTGGAAGAAAACCATACTATGTAAAGGAATAACAAACACAGGGAGAATGGGAAAACGCCAAGCAGTTATGTCCTGACCAAGACTCAGACTGAGGACCCTAATGCTGCAAGGCAGAAGAGCTAACCACTAAGCCACTGTGCTTGTTCCCCTTTCTTGGAGACTTTTGCTGCCCAACCCACTGGAATCTGCTGCTTCAGTCATATCCCAGCTTATATCCTTTTCCACGCATAGGTGCCTTTATTCTTTATTCATCATTGGTAAAATGGTGAACAACATTCTCCTAGCAATGACTGGAGATTGCAATGAACATAAAGACTACAGTGCATCAAGAAGAGGAGTCCAACTGGAAGATTTTTATCTGACAGCTATGGATTCCCAGCACACTGCACAGGGAAGATCAGTGTGGAGCATGAACAGGTAACTGTATGGAGGAGGAGGGGGCTTTTAAAAGGATAACAATACTGAAAATCACAAAAATATACAAAATTAGGTAACTTTATCTTGCTTACTGGATACATCTGGACATTTGTGGGTAGATCCCAAAATAATAATGACTATCTTGCCATAGACCCAAAACTGATTTTTAATTCAGAATGAAGTCTGATATCCAGAACTTCACGAGACCCTTCCATTAACCTAAAACATTGAAAAAAGTGCTTAATGCCATATACTAATTTTTATATTCCCTTGCAATGTGCTTTTGAACATACTAGAAAATTTAACAACTCCAGCTGCTGGAGATCGTACAATCACATTGCAACAGGTATATTAGAGCTACCTGTCCTTCCACATTCTAGATGACTAAACAGGTTTGCAGATAGGGATGATTTGAAATAGCTCTAATGCAAACCTATTGCCATACTCAGTGTACAGCACACACAATGTTCTGGATCTACATGTGAAATGTTCAGTTATGGCTGACAACAGTTGCACAACCTGAAGAATCGAGGCTGATGCTCCAAACTGTTCTCGTCCAGTACTCTCCTCCTTTCTCTCTGCAGTTGTTCTATCCTTTGTTTTTGTGCTTCTGCTGCTTCCACATTTCCTTCTTCAAGAAATCTGCCACCAAATAAAACATCATAAATGTCATTAGCAATGGATATCATCACACCCTTCAAAATAATGCTTAGTAATGCAACTCACTCTATGTAATATTCTCCCCAGAGCACAGTCACATTTTTCATACAACAGTTCTGATGGTTGTAAAGGCCAATTATTATATCCACTTGCCCTCTGGAAGATTTACCCCCCTTCATGACCAGGCCATTTTTGCTATGCCGCACTGTGCTACCTTAACTGACAATTGTGTGGTCATGCAACACTATACCAAAATGAAATTTATATCATTTTTTTTCACACAAATGGAGCTTACTTTTGGTGGTATTTGATCGCAACTGGGATTTTTATTTTTTAGTATATAAATGAAAAAAAAAGACAAAATTAAAAAAATATATATTTTTACTTTTTGCTATAAAACATATCCTGTAAAAATGTTTTAAAAAATCTAATTTCGTCATAAATGTAGGACAAAATATATTCTGCTACATGTCCTTGGTAAACAAAAATCCAATAAGTGAAAGTTAGAGCGTCTACAAATGACGGTATATACAGTGGGGCAAAAAAGTATTTAGTCAGCCACCAATTGTGCAAGTTTTCCCACTAAAAAAGATGAGAGAGGCCTGTAATTGGCATCATAGGTAGACCTCAACTATGAGAGACAAAATGAGAAAAAAAATCCAGACAATCACATTGGCTGATTTGGAAAGAATTTATTTGCAAATTATGGTGGAAAATAAGTATTTGGTCAATATCAAAAGTTCATCTCAATACTTTGTTATATATCCTTTGTTGGCAATGACAGAGGTCAAACGTTTCCTGTAAGTCTTCACAAGGTTGGCACACACTGTTGCTGGTATATTGGCCCATTCCTCCATGCAGATCTCCTCTAGAGCAGTGATGTTTTGGGGCTGTCGCTGGGCAACACAGACTTTCAACTCCCTCCAAAGGTTTTCTATGGGGTTGCGATCTGGAGACTGGCTAGGCCACTCCAGGACCTTGAAATGCTTCTTACGAAGCCACTCCGTTGCCCGGGCGCTATGTTTGGGATCATTGTCATGTTGGAAGACCCAGCCACGTTTCATCTTCAATGCCCTTGCTGATGGGAGGTTTGCACTCAAAATCTCATGATACATGACCCCATTCATTCTGTCCTGTACATGGATCAGTCGTCCTGGTCCCTTTGTGGAGAAACAGCCCCAAAGCATGATGTTGCCACCCCCATGCTTCACAGTAGGTATGGTATTCTTTGGATGCAACTCAGCATTCTCTCTCCTCCAAACACGACGAGTTGTGTTTCTACCAAACAGTTCTTTTTTGGTTTCATCTGACCATATGACATTCTCCCAATCCTCTTCCGGATCATCCAAATGCTCACTAGCAAACTTCAGACGGGCCCGAACATGTACTAGCTTAAGCAGGGGGACATGTCTGGCACTGCAGGATCTGAGTCCCTGGCGGCGTAGTATGTTACTGATGGTAGGCTTTTTACGTTGGTCCCAGCTCTCTGCAGGTCATTCACAAGGTCCCCCCGTGTGGTCCTGGGATTTTTGCTCACCATTCTTGTGATCATTTTGACCCCACAGGGTGAGATCTTGTGTGGAGCCCCAGATCGAGGGAGATTATCAGTGGTCTTGTATGTCTTCCATTTTCTAATTATTGCTCCCACAGTTGATTTGTTCACACCAAGCTGCTTGCCTATTGCAGATTCAGTCTTCCCAGCCTGGTGCAGGTCTACAATTTTGTTTCTGGTGTCCTTCGACAGCTCTTTGGTCTTCACCAAAGTGGAGTTTGGAGTGTGACTGTTTGAGGTTGTGGACAGGTGTCTTTTATACTGATAACAAGTTCAAACAGGTGCCATTGATACAGGTAATGAGTGCAGGACAGAGGAGCCTCTTAAAGAAGAAGGTACAGGTCTGTGAGAGCCAGAGATCTTGCTTGATTGTAGGTGACCAAATACTTATTTTCCACCATAATTTGCAAATAAATTCTTTCCAAATCAGCCAATGTGATTGTCTGGATTTTTTTCTCATTTTGTCTCTCATAGTTGAGGTCTACCTATGATGCCAATTACAGCCTCTCTCATCTTTTTAAGTGGGAGAACTTGCACAATTGGTGGCTGACTAAATACTTTTTTGCCCCACTGTATACAGGAAATGTTGTCCTTTTTTCTTTTATTATACTAGTAATGGCGGCAATCAGTGACTTATAGCGGGACTGTGATAGTGGGAACTGACTAACTGCCGCTGACTTCACCAGTGACACTAATACTGTAATCAGTACTAACAATGTGCACTGACACAGTACTAATGACACTGGGTAGGAAGGGGTTAAAACATCTGGGACAATCAAAGTGTGTACCTAGGCAGTCCTAATGTGTGTACTGCGTGCTCATTTTACTAAGGGAGCTTGTTGTTTTTTTCCCCTGATTATAAGGGAATGAAAAAAACAACAAGATCGCCTGTCACTATACAGAGCTCTGTGATGTTTACCAGCAGCCACTCTGTGTTCTTAAAGTATAACTGAAAACAAAACTTTTTTTAGTTTTGGATAGAGTGGAAAGAGATTAGAACACCTGTCAGTTTTTATTGCTGCCTGTACCCCAGTTAAGGAGATTCACCCTCTCTATCTGTCCTATTTATCGTTCTCATCGAAAATGTAAATAAAAGAAAATCCCAAATTTTAGGTTGACACCAGAACAGTAATCAAGAGAAATCTTCCAATGGGGACACTAGCTCTGGTGACAACCTGTGATTTCCTCAGTTTGGAGGCATTTCCTCCCACTTCCTGTTTTGGTTATGGGACAGGAAGTTAAGGGAAATCTCTTCAATGGGACACAGATGGCAAAAAGGGTTATAACCCCCCCCTTACTCTATCCCAAAAAAGGTTTGCCTTTACTTACACTTTAAGGCCCCTTTCACATAAGCATTCCATTTGTCCATTTTTCATCCATCCGTTTATGGATGAAAAATGGACATCAATGCATCTCTATGGAAAAACGGATGTAAACTGATGATCATATGTTTACATCCGCATCTGTCAACATCTGTTTTTTGGAACTGATCAAAGCCATATTTTTGTTCCAATGGAACGGACGAAAAGTGGATGTAAACAGACAAACGGTCCATTTTTGCATTGGTAGTGGATGTAAAAAACTGATCCGTTTTTTCTTTGAAAAAAACGTGACTGAACTGATGAAAAAAAACAGAATGCACGATGACCCTTAAGTTTGACAGTCTCGTACAGTTACTGGAAGCAGCCATTAAATTTGCCAAAAAAGCAAGTGACATCAGTGATAGCACACTGGGTAATATATGTGGTTTTTCATTACAAAGCACAGCCCTGACTCAAAAATAAATGATGATTTGGACTTCTACCCACCTGTTCAAGTTATCTATAGCCTTATAAAAAAACTGTATAAAAGATTTCTACAAACAGCTCTGATAAATATGTAATTGTATCTGGACAGTCATGTTTCCAACAGCTAAAACCACACACTGCTCCTATTCTATACTGCAGCTGCCAGAGAGATTTCTGATTAATCCCCCTACATGTCACAGGCTTCTATGAAATCATTAACATAAATATAATATACCGGTGGTGCAAAACACAAAATGATCATATTTTGAGTGTCAATATTAGGTAGTACATAAGCTACATGATTCTCATAAATGTTCTCTATATTGTTCTAGATACTTAGCCAATATTTCAAGACATTTTTGTAAATGTAAGAAAATATTTTTTTCTTTATTATTATGTGCAGCAGTCATTTTCTACTGTTTCTGATTTTTAATTGGCCTGGGGACCAAAGTGCTAAGACACTGATAATTTAAAACATTTGGCTGCAATCCAAGAGGGCAAGTGGAGCAGGAATCCTTGGCAGTGGCAAATCAAAACGGATTGCTGCACATAATAAAGAACATCTCATAATTTGGCAGGTAAAATTGTTGCACATACAGGTATTTTAACTCCATATTCAGCAGTGTAACTGCAGCTTTGCTTTAAAAATGTATGGGGAAACAATAAAATGTTTGGTCTGCCCTTTAGCACTCTTGTTATGATGTAATCTCCTGAGTAACATAACTAAAAAAAATGGGTAACAGATAACCATACCTTTGGTCTGGTCTAAATCTAGTGTCAGTACAAGGTAGCAGTGACTTTGTCTTTGGATCAAATTCATTAAGCTGTAGCGCATACTTTGTAAAGCCATAGTATAGTTCTGATTCCTTGGGCATTGGATCTGTTAGAAAAAGAGGAATTCACATATATAAAGTAGAACTTCAATAAACATATATGGTATAGAAACAGCTATGTGTAGTAGCAACAAATACCATTGGGAAATCAGCATGCAAGCACAACTAGCAATAAAAATTTAAATACCTCTCTATATAATATATTACCTCTAATATATATATATAAATATATATATACATATATACACATACACAGGTGAAACTCGAAAAATTAGATTATCGTGCAAAAGTTCATTTATTTCAGTAATGCAACTTAAAAGGTGAAACTAATATATGAGATAGACTCATTACATGCAAAGCAAGATAGTTCAAGCCGTGATTTGTCATAATTGTGATGATTATGGCTTACAGCTCATGAAAACTCCAAATCCACAATCTCAGAAAATTAGAATATTGTGAAAAGGTACAATATTCTAGGCTCAAAGTGTCCCACTCTAATCAGCTAATTAAGCCATAACACCTGCAAAGGGTTCCTGAGCCTTTAAATGGTCTTTCAGTCTGGTTCAGTAGGAATCACAATCATGGGAAAGGACTGCTGACCTGACGGTTGTGCAGAAAACCATCATTGACACCCTCCATAAGGAGGGAAAGCCTCAAAAGGTAATTGCAAAAGAAGTTGGATGTTCCCAAAGTGTTGTATCAAAGCACATTAATAGAAAGTTATGTGGAAGGGAAAAGTGTGGAAGAAAAAGGTGCACAAGCAGCAGGGATGACTGCAGCCTGGAGAGGATTGTCAGGAAAAGGACATTCAAAAGTGTTGGGGACTTTCACAAGGAGTGGACTGAGGCTGGAGTCAGTGCATCAAGAGCCACCACACACAGACGGATCTTGGACATGAGCTTTAAATGTCGTATTCCTCCTGAACAACAAACAACGTCAGAAGCGTCTTACCTGGGCTAAAGAAAAACAGACCTGGTCTGTTGCTCAGTGGTCCAAAGTCCTCTTTTCTGATGAGAGCAACTTTTGCATCTCATTTGGAAACCAAGGACCCAGAGTATGGAGGAAGAATGGAGCGGCACACACTGCATGATTCTTGAAGTCCAGTGTGAAGTTTCCACAGTCTATGTTGATTTGGGGAGTCATGTCATCTGCTGGTGTTGGTCCACTGTGCTTCATTAACCTCCCTAGCAGTCTGATTATGTCCATATCTCTGTGCTCAAAGTGGTAAATTTTTTTGCATGGAAATATGTTTTTTTTTTATTGTAGGCCTGTAATTTTTAGGAATAACTCACTGAAATCTGTCCGAACAAGAGTCTAGTAAACATCCCGGGTATGTTACAATTTGAAACACGAAATCATAAATTATAATTTAATAAATAATCATAAAAAATAATTATAATAATAATAAATGCAATTCAATAATATAATCAAACCAAAAACACTGAAATTTGAAATATAGCGCCAAGTTCGCACATCACTGAGCAAAGTCGCAAAATTGTTTTCAGTGTCTGATGATGAAATTTCCCCCACGAATCATTGTCACTCAATTCTGCAAGTAGTTCTAATTTACTATCACTGTTCTCTAGCTGGTCTAAAACCGCTTTTGACCTAAAGGGATGCTTTTTGGACGCCATGGACGTTTCTCTGTTTCCAGGCAGAAAGAACGGTAAAAATGCAGGCAGGGTACAAAACAAAGCACTTGGGACAAAATGTATGTGAAATGGTTTGATACAGTAATGTTTTACTATGTGATTTTAGTGAATGTCACATTTTGTCATTTTCAAATTTCCCTCTGTTCCATCCCCGTACGTCCCGACGCTCACAGGGGACGGAACCCAGATGACAGATGCCGGCATCCGCAGGAGGAGATGGCCGGGGACACTGCAGGAGGGACATCGCGGGAGCGCAGGACAAGGTAAGAGAAGAACAGATATCGGAGCAGCGCTGCATGGTAAGCCCGAGTGTAGCTCGGGGTTACCGCTGTTGGTACTGAAACTTTACCCCGAGCTACACTCGGGAATACTGTCAGGGAGGTTAAGTCCAGTGTCAACGCAGCCGTCTACCAGGAGATTTTGGAGCACTTCATGCTTCCTTCCGCAGACGAGCTTTATGGGGATGCTGACTTAATTTACCTGCAGGACTTGGCACCTGCCCACACTATGAAAAGCACCAAAACCTGGTTCAATGACCGTGGGATTACTGTACTTGATTGGCCAGCAAACTCGCCTGACCTGAACCCCATAGAGAATCTATGGGGCATTGCCAAGAGAAAGATGAGAGACATGAGACCGAACAATGCAGAAGAGCTGAAGGCCGCTATTGAAGCATCCTGGTCTTCCATAACACCTCAGCAGTGCCACAGGCTGATAGCTTCCATGCCACGCCGCATTGAGTCAGTAATTGCTGCAAAAGGGGCCCAAACCAAGCACTGAGTACATATGCATGCTTATACTTTTCAGAGGTCCGATATTGATCTATGTACAATCCTTGTTTTATTGATTGCATGTAATATTCTAATTTTCTGAGAGTGTGGATTTGGGATTTTCATGAGCTGTAAGCATACTCATCACAATTATGACAAATCACGGCTTGAACTATCTTGCTTTGCATGTAATGAGTCTATCTCATATATTAGTTTCACCTTTTAAGTTGCATTACTGAAAAAAATTAACTTTTGCACGATATTCAAATTTTTTCGAGTTTCACCTGTGTATCTCTCTCTCTCTCTATATATATATATATATATATATACAAAAAAATATACAGTGTATATATGTATTAATATTAATATGCAGGATTTATATAGCGCCAACAGTTTGCTCAGCGCTTTACAATATAACAGGAGACAATACAGCAACAATACAGTTCAATACAAGAGGGAAAAGGAGGGCCCTTCTCCTTGGAGCTTACAATCTAGGAGGGGCTAGTGGTAGAAAAGGTGGTAACTGTGGGGGATGAACTGGTTGGAAGAGTAGAAGATTCCATTATTAGCTGAGGGCAGGATAGGCTTCTTTGAAGAGATAGGTTTGCAGAGATCGCCTAAAGTGAGCAGAGTAGGCGATAGTCTGATAAATTGGGGTAGAGAGTTCCAGAGGATAGGGGAAGCTCTGGAAAAGTCCTGGAGATGAGCATGGGAGGAGGAGGAGACAAGGGAGCTAAAGAGCAGGTCGTCTTGCGAGGAGCGGAGAGTACAGTTTGGGTGATATATAGAGACAAGATCGTTGATGTAATTTGGGGCAGAGTTATAAATGGCTTTATACGTTATTGTTAATGTTTTGAATTTTATCCGTTGGGCAATGGGAAGCCAGTGGAGGGATTGGCAGAGAGAGGTGGTAGATACAGAATGGCTAGTAAGGTGGATAAGTCTGGCAGCAGCATTCATGATAGACTGAAGAGGGGATAGCCTGCGATTCGATAGGCCAATGAGGAGGGAGCTGCAATAATCAAGGTGATATATGACAAGGGAGTGAATAAGTTGCTTAGTGTTTCCGTGGTTAGGAACCGGCGTATCTTGGAGATGTTGCGGAGGTGAAGTCTACAAGATTTGGACAGCGATTGGATTTGGGGCTGAAAGGACAGATGGGAGTCCAGGATTACATCTAGTACCCTGGCATGAGGGGAGGGAATGATGATTGTGTTATTGATCTTGATGGAGAAGTCAGGGGAGGGGGCACAGGCTGGGGGGAATACTAAGAGCTCAGTTTTGGAAAGATTGAGTTTGAGGAAGTGGAGTGACATCCATGCTGATATGTCACTTAGTAGGTTAGTAATGCGAGAGGAGACTGAAGGGGTGAGGTGAGGGGTAGAAAGATAGATTTGTGTGTCATCAGCATAGAGATGGTACTTAAAGCCATGGGAGTTTATCAAGTGACCAAGGGAGGAGGTGTAGATGGAGAGAGAGAACAGGTCCAAGGACAGAACCTTGAGGGACCCCTACAGAAAGAGGGTGTGAAGAGGAGGAGGCAGCGTTATAGGTGATGCTGAAGGAGCGCTGCAATAGGTAGGAGGAGAACCAGGAGAGAGCAGAGTCTCTGAGACCAAGAGAGTGGATTTTTTTGAGGAGGAGGGGATGGTCAACCGTATCAAAAGCCGCAGAGAGGTCAAGTAGTAAGAGTACAGAGTAGTGGCCATTGGTTTTAGCGGTTAGTAGATCATTAGTGAGTTTTAGTAGGGCAGTTTCAGTGGAGTGTAGTGAGCGAAAGCTAGACTGTAAAGGGTCAAGTTGGTTGTTGTCGGTGAGGTGGGAGCTCATGCGATTGTAGACTAAGCATTCTAGGTGTTTAGAGGTAAATGGCAGCAGGGAGATGGGTATTAAGTTGTTCAGGTTGGTGGGGTCCAGGTAGGGCTTTTTAAGTATCGGGAGTGATGTGCGCATGCTTTAGAGGGGAGGGGAAAGCACCAGTAGATAGGGAAAGATTGAAGATGCGAGTTAGGGAACATAGGATGGAAGAAGAGGGTGACTGTAGTAGTTGTGAGGGGCAGGATCCAGGGGGCAGGTAGTGAGACAAGCTTCTGAGAAAACCTTAGTGACCTCTTCGGTAGTAGCATGGTCAAAAGAGGAAAGTGTTGAGGGAGGATTAATATAAGGTATGCTAAGTGGGATGGATGTCTGTGCAGTGGCGATGCCCCTACGAATTGCGTCAATCTTGTTTTTGAAATGATCTGCAATCTCGTGAGCAGTGAGTGATATACTGGGTGGAGGTGGAGAAAGTAGAGAGTTAAAAGTAGAGAAGAGACGATGAGGACTGGATGACAAGGTATTAATAAGAGTGACAAAGTAGGCTTGTTTGGTAGCATGAAGGGAGGAATTGTATGTTAAGAAAGCAGATTTATATCGGGTGAATGCTTGCTGGGATTTGGTTTTACGCCACAATCCCTCCAGCGCACGACTATGTCGTTTAAGATTTCTGGTGTCGCCAGTCTGCCAAGGTTGTAAAGGTTGGGGCCTGATGCTTCGTGTTGTTAGAGGAGCAAGTGAGTCTAATGCGGATGAAAGCGAACTGTTGTAGACAGCAGTGGCCAGGTCAGGGCAGGACAGGGGAGAGATTCTGTCATAGAGTTGGTCAGTTGCAGAGTGGAAAGGAGCAGGGTTCAAGTTGTGAAAGTTTCTGAGGGTAATTGTTTCCTGCTTGGAGGGATAGGTGTTTGAAGACGAGGACACTGTGAAGGTGATGAGATTGTGATCAGAGAGAGGAAAGAAGGTGTTTGTGAGGCTGTAGGGAGTGCAAAGATGGGAGAAAACAAGGTCTAATGTATTCCCATCAGAGTCAGTTAAGGACTGTATACATTGTGCTAATGCAAAAGATGAGGTTAGGTTGAAGAGTTGGGATGTAGCTGGGTTGTTGACATTAATAGGGATATTAAAAATATCTGAGAATGATCGTGGGTAGTTCAGAGGAGAGAAAGTAGGGTAGCCAGGTGGAGAAATCATCAAGAAAGCGGGATACCGGTCCAGGAGGCCGATAGATCACTGCAATCCTCAGAGAAATGGGAAAAAAAACAGCCGGAGGCAGTGAGTCTCGAAAGAAGAGAAGGATAGAGAGGGAGGGATAGGGAGGACTTGAAAGGTGCTCAGTGGGGATAGAAGCAAACCAACCCCACCACCTTTCTGACCACTGGGTCTGGGGTGAGTGAGTCCATATGAGGCCTCCATAGGAAAGTGCTGCGGGGGAAGCAGAATCTGCTGTTTGGAGCCATGTTTCTGTAATTGCTAGTAGGTTAAGGGAGCGGGAGACAAAAAGGTCATGGACAGAGGTGAGCTTATTACAGACAGAGCGCACATGAAAAAGGGAGGGTGGTTTTTGGGAGCACGGGGACTGATGTTAAATTGAGGGGATTGCGGCTATTCCCGGAAAAAAAGAGGATGCCTGGTGTGGGGGTGAAATAGTGGAGGACCAGGGTTTGAGGAGATATCCCTAGAGGTTAGGAGAAGAAGAAGGGTGAGGAAAGTAACATGGGAGCGGGATGTAGATGAGTGCACATACCTTCCAGTCCTGGTGTTTGGGTCAGAAGGAGAGTGAAGTGTCAGCAGGAGATGATGAGAGCAGTAGTAGTGAGATGGTAGCAGTGAGGGTGAGATGTACAAGTATTGGGGTGGAGCAGAGGGATAAAGAAGTGAGATTTTGGGAACGCAGGAAAGTAATATGAAAATGAGGAGTGGAGGGGACATATTAAAAGGTACACAGAGTGGGACTCAGACTTGTAAGAGATGTTTCCCAGGGTGTTTGCTTGCAGTCTGTCCAGCATGCAGTAGAGTTTCTTGTTGTTGTATCTTCCTGCTGCTTGAGTTCTCCTGCTTTAGTTCAACTGCTGTGTTTAACTGCGTCTTAGCACACCATCAACGCAGCACTCACACAAAAAGCAGCACCCCTTCTGTGACTGTGCCCCCCATCTGTGTGATTTCTCCCATGAGCTGATCTAAATTTATAGGGAGATGGTCAAATGAGCACTCTTCTCCACCCCAATTAGGAACTGATAAGGATCACATTAACAGGGGGGGATGTTCTCAAACAGACCAGACACAGACTACAGTCATAAAACGAGTGCAACAAGAGGTGAGAACTAATCAACATATACAAAAATATATATACACTATTTGTTCTGAAATTAACAGGAGTCAATACGTTGTTCTAGTTAAGAGAGGAGATAGCAGCATTTACCCATTTACCCAGTGAAAGCATAGTTATATATACCCAGTATATATATATATATATATATATATATATATATATATATATATATATATATTTATTGATTGTGACAGTGCTAGCCACTGGCATGGTATGGGTTTAGGAAATGGATACAGAAATTACATAGGATTCAAACTAAGGCAGAGTGTGAAGTTCCAGATTATTGTTTCTGTGCAGAGAAAACTGCTGTTGCAGTTTTCTCCATGTTTTGTAGTCCCATATTGGGACCTTGAGCTTGAAGACTTTGAAGAGATTTGGGTGGAATGAAGTCTTCAATCCTTTGTCCATGTCACTGGTGTGGGATGAAGTCTTCAATCCTATGTCCACAGCACTGGTGTGCACGGCCATTATATGCAAAGCCTGAGCATATCTCAGGACTCCCCATTTTGGAAACAGAGCCCACGTCAGAAGAAGTGTGTGTGCCTGCCAGCAACTGTACCCCATGTTGGAGGAATTCCTTGCCACAGGACTGGGAAAGGCTGGAGCTACACGAGTGTTGAAAACTAAGAGAGAGTCTTGGAGACTGAGAAAGCTGAGGCAGCTAGCGAGTCCAGGGGGCTGGAGGGAATCCGCAAGTCTTTGGAAGAGCGAGCAAGTTCGGGAGGCTAGGAGAACCCTATTTAGAGGTCAGGAGTGGGCCCATGTGGTGAGATGCTGCAACTAAAGGCAGAGTGAGCCTGAAGAGCCGTAGTCTGGGACACCAAAGATAAGAGCAGCAGTGCTCCTAAAGCTGTTTTGCTGTGTTAAGCTGACACCCCTGCATGAGCAATTGTGTTGTGTACTTTTAGTTTTGTTGTTTTTTTGTTTTTTTTAATAAAAGTGGGCTGCAAGCCTTTAAAACCTACAAGTTCAAACTGGTACGAGTCATTAAGATGCATCTACCACATTAAGCTCAATTACCCCATTTCACAATATATGTGTCGTTTCTGAAGATTTGCTACCAAGCGGACCACACAGTGAAGAACTCAGGACAGCTCTGTTTTAAGTATTTGTTAGTCACACTGTGTAGGAAAGGGATAGTAGGGGCACAAAATGTCCACTTATCTTTTAAGACTTGTATGACAGCAGAGGTACATGACTGCTCCAATTTTACTAACGATACTTACTAGTCCTCCAGATGCAAATTGGTGAAGAGGGGGATCCACAAAATATGCTCTCATGCCATTTTCCAAAAATTCGGTGTACCACTTTGCCATCCCTGTCCATCACTGTCCCTTCGATTTCATGCACATTTGGGTTCCAGTATTTTGCCTGGAAGAAAATATTTAGTTACTGTTAAATATGTAGTAAACCTAAACTACATGAGATCATTGACATGCATGAATGTAAACAAAACATTTTAAGAGCCTATCCAAACTCGGGATATTTTAATCAGAACTCCAATATATTATCTATATATACTTATTCTCTATGCTGTGTCTGGCTTCCTCCTTTGTTGGTCCTCTTTGGGCAGAATTATAGTCACATTTTTGCCAATTTTCAGTGAGCCCAGCCTTTCATTTACAAATACCCTGGGGGCATATTATCACACAAAGTGGGCTCACAATAGCCCAGGACTTAGAATTGACATGTAAACAGCACTCCAGACAGGAGGAACACACCAAACAAGACTGCTCTAAAAAAAAATAATAAAAAAAAGTATGAGGGGATTCAGGGAGGAGGCAGTTAAAGAGGAAAAAAGCCAAGCTGGAGTTCCACTTCAAGCCGTGTAGAGATGATGCTGCACACAGAAACCTCCTTTCTGCCTTCTGTATAATAGGATAATGCATTTTGAACATAAATATATGTAAGTTCTCTGCAGGTTTGTATGGTAATGGAAAAAAAAAATTTCCGATTTCATTGATGCATGTATATAATTGAAAATAATACAAGAAAGCTCCTTTAGTTTCACAAAGAGCAATGATGTGCAGCAACTAATAACATCTAATCTAATGTGACCTTTAATCAGCAAAGAACATTGCAGAAGGATGATTACTGTTTGGTTTCAAAGTCAGACTGTACCTTGCGCCCTGTCTCATTAAACAACCACCCAGTGACCATCATTTATCATCTGGTAACAATCAAACTAACTACAAGCAGTTGTTTGTCATTAAAAAAACACATATTTTTGTAGCAAAGACAAAAGGGTTAAGATACCTTTATAAAAGTGACTTTGCAATGACAATGGTCATTTTTCATGTTCTTGATGATTATCTCTCCATAATGTTCTATCCACCTCTGGCCGCTTAAGATGTTGTGAATGCAAGAGGTCACCTTGTTCCATTCATAATGATCCCCAAATCTTTATGCATGAAATAAAAACGAAGAACTTTAAGCTGTTTAAGTCAATATCTGATAAAGCCACTAGAGTGTGCTGTTTGTCAGCAGGGAAAGCAGAACACAGTCAGTGATGAACTGGCGGTACCCTAGAAAAGCAGTTTATATTGATTCAAATATCACAAGTATACCAGTCTTATAAACTGTACAGGGATTCTTGCCACCATCGTGCCTAAAGAGTTTAGATTTATTTATTTCTCTAAAGCTTTTGCCAAAATGCAAAGGCACATTAAAGCAGTGTGTATATTGGTTTCGTCATGGCAGGGGGAGATGAATCATATATCAAAGCAGTTAATAGGCTGCCTGTTGACTTTACACAACATTTTCCATCACCTTTTTTGGCTAATCTTGTTGATTATCTCGTGTTTGTGGATTCTCCTCAATGCCACTAATGCTATGAAGGCGAGGAATCAATAGATTTGGAGTAAATACATCCCCAAGTTGAGATGCTGTGTAAAATCTACATAAAGACAATGCAATGATCTGTAAATCTCATAAACCCATATTTTATTCACAGTAGAAAATTCAAATGTTTAAACTGAAAAAAATGTCCTCCCTCCCTGTAGTCTTTTGGGACATGCGACAGGTCCCAGAAGACTACAGGACCATTCAAGAAGCGCAGCGCTACTCGCGCATGCGCAGTGGGAACCAGTTTGTGAAGCCGCAAGCAGTCACAGCCTAGTGCCCACAATGAAGATGCTGGCCTCCAGGAATACAGGACGGCTGGTGAAAAGGGCTGCAGGGGACACACCACGGGACCGAGGGACAGGTAAGTGGCTGTATTTTAAAATCAGCAGCTACAGTTTTTGTAGCTGCTGACTTTTATTTTTTGACAGGGTGAGCAGAACTCCGCTTTAAGTGGCAACAGGTCAATAATATGACTGGGTATAAAAAGGGCATCTTAGAGTCATAGGGGTTGATTTACTAAAGGCAAATAGGCTGTGCACTTCAAGTGCACTTGGAAGTGCACAGAAAGTGCAGTTGCTCTAGATCTGAGGGGAACATGCAAGGAAAATGAAAAAAAAAAAAAAAAACAGAATTTTTGCTTGCACATGATTTGATGAAAGAAATCAGCAGAGCTTCACCTCATTTCAGAGCTTCCCCTTGGATATAAAGCAACTGCACTTGCAGTGCACTTGAAGTGCTCTTGCAGGTGCACTTGCAGTGCATTTGCAGTGCACAGTATATTTACCTTTAGTAAATCAACCCCAGAGTGTCTCAGAAGTGAAGATGGGCAGAAGTTCACCAATTTGTGAAAAGCTGCGTCCAAATATTGTGGAATAATTTCAGAATATTGTTCCGCAATGTAAAATTGCAAAGACTATAAAAATATTATTATTTACAGTGTATAATATCATCATAAGATTCAAGGAATCTGGAGAAATCTCTGTGCTCAAAGGACAAGGCTGAAACACAATTTTGGATGTCTGTGATCTTCAGGTCTTCAGATGGCACTACATTAAAAACAGGCTGGATTCCATGAGGATATCACTGCATGGACTCAGGAATATACTTCCACATATCACTATCTGTGTACACAATTCACCGTGATAACCATCACCAAAAATGCAGGGTAAAGCTCTATCATGCAAATAAGCAAATATCAGAACATGATCTAGAAATGCCACCATGTTCCCTGAGCTCTCATTTCAAATGGTCTGCTGCAAAGTGGTAACTGCTCTGTGGTCAAACAAATCAAAAACTGACATCTTTTTGATACCATGAGTGCCACGTCCTCTGGACTAAAGAGGAGAGGGACCTTCTGCGTGTTGTCAGCACCCAGTTCAAAGGCCTGCATCTTTGAGGTTATGGGGGTGCTTTAGTGCATATGGAATGGACAGCTTACCCATCTGGAAAGGCCCCATCAATGCTGAACGATATATATCCAGGTTTTAGAGCAGAACCTGCTCCTAACCAGACTTCTTTTTCAGGGAAGGCCTTGCTTATTTCAACAGGACAAAGCCAAACTTCATACTGCATCTATGACAACAGCATGGCTTTGTAGTAGAAGAGTCCAGGTGATTAACTAGCCTGCCTGCAGTCCAGACCTTTCACCAATTGAAAGTATTTGGCACATCTTGGGACGAAAATTACAACAAAGAAAACCCCAGGACTGTTGAGCAGTTAAAATCCTATATCAGGAAAGAATTGGACAACATTCCTCTCCCAAAACTCCAGCAACTGGTCTACTCAGTTCCCAGACATTTACAGAGTATTTTCAAAAAAGAGGGGATGCTAAACCATGGTAAACATGGCCCTATCCCAACTTTTTTTGAGACATGTTGCTGCCATCAATTTCAAAATGACCTTATTTTTTTCCTCTAACACGGTCCATTTTCTAACTTTAAACAAATTATAGGTTTTCTATTTTCTATTGTGAATAAAATATGGGTTTATGAGATCTGAAATTCATTGCATTCGGTTTTTATGTATATTTAACAAAGCGTCCCACATTTTTGGAATTGGGGTTGAATAATTAACATAAACAATATTAACATAAACAACATACAAACAAACTGCGCAAAACTAGTAGAAGTCCAAGCTGCTTTATTGTGGTTAGTGATGTATAACACGTGTGCTTCAACACCATGCAGCAGTGATCTTCATTTGCAAGCCGATCACCAATATTGGTGATGTTGTGGCTACATTCCTTTTTCAGGCTTTTTTTAAACCTTTATTTTCACTTGGTGACCCTGCCAGTAACATACTTCTTGTCCTGTATCTATGGAGGGGAAATATTGTAACCATAGGCTGCCCTTCTGATCTGGACTAATAAAAACACCTCGCCCTCTCCTTAGCCCCATTACATGGGTCTGGGATATTTTGTAGTTCACAGAAGACAGTTGGAAAAGCCGATAACATTATTTGAGATTTCAGTTCACTGCATAGGATGTTACAAAAAAACTTTTTTTCTGTCAAGATCAACAGGAAGTGTACTTGCAAAAATGAGCTTAGCCTGAAAAAAAGAAAAATGTATTTAAATTGGGTTTAAATACACTTTACAATCTTCCCAAAAATGTATAGACTCATATAGGAGTTGTACCAAAGAAAAGACAAATGGTGTAGTGTATTGGCTGCTCAAACCTGAATGTATTTATATATACTTGCTTCCAACTTGTTGCTTTTCCAAGCCCTTATCCCTTGAAATGTTCTACAGATATTGCACTAACAAGGGTTAACAAGCCTAAAACCATTGTGTGGAAGTCAGATAAAGGGTTTGTATTTTCAAGAACATCTGTTCTACAACACAGAGGTTCTAGAAGAATAACTGGCCAGTGAAATTTAAAAAAAAAAAAGGATTTTGGTCTCTATGCAAGAGGATTTCCTACTGAAACCTCTTTGTACTGTTTATAAGGCCCTTTTACCATCTGTCCTTAATGGCCTGGATAAATAGTTGTCCTGCTGGCGTGAAGTGGTACGGGAACTGGGTGCTGAGGCTTGGGAGGATAACTGGGACTCTCTTATGTTGCAACTGGTCTCTACATGAGATCATTTGATCCAATTCAAGATCCTTCATAGAATACATTTTACTCCACAGAGGTTACACAGGATTTTTCATTAACACCCCTCTAAATGTTGGCGCTGCCCGGAAAATCCGGCCACCTTTATGCATGTCTTTTGAATCTTTACCGTCATTCAGTCCTTTTGGGGGAGGTGTACCATGCATATGCTCCAGGACCATTTCAGTGCCCTATTGATGTACATTGAGAACATTATTAGGTTTATTGTTTTATGCTTGCAAGGCTATAGTCCTTAAATGGAAATCTCTTTAAGCCCACATGCTTGACTTCTGGAACCACCTAGTCAATACAGTGGTTAGAGTGTATAAATTCATGTATGAATCTAGGGGTTGCCCAAAAAATCTTCTAAAGTATGGGAAATCTGGTTAGAATCATCTACTACCACTGCCTCTACTCAATGATCTTGTAGTGATAGATTTACTTTCCATCTAGAAATGACACACTGGTTAAATCAAAATTTAACTTTGGTACAACGCCTATATGACACCTCTACGGGTTCCCCAAAATCTCTCACTGACATTCAGAAAACCTATGGATTACCATCATACCACTTCTTCTATATTCTTCAAGTGAGGAACTATGTTAATACAGTTGCACCTATCAAAGCAAGTAGATTTCGTAACACGTTTCTGGATGTCCTAGTGAACTCTCGAAAATATACAATATCAAATGTGTACAGACCCTTGAACCTATTGTATGCCAAACCCTTCGAGTCATACACTGCTGAACACTTACTAGCGGGCTTCAACTCCACATGTGCCTTCAACCACAACGAATTCTGGCGTGAACAGCAATTCAAGATCCTACACCGTGCCTACATGCCCTGTCAATACTCAAGAAATGACCAGGCTCTGTCTACCTGCCCACTCTGTGGAAAGCAAAAACCTTCTCAACATCATAGATTTTGGAGCTGCCTTCATATCTCAGCATTCTGGGAGCAGGTAGTCAAATTTGTATTAATCATCACTGCCTTTCAACTCCCCATTCACCCGCTACCTCTCCTTTTCAGATACATGGATCAACCTGCCATTGGTCTCTTCTCTTCTTAAACATCCTCCTTCAGAAATAATCAACCCTGGATATCCACATGCCTACTCATAGCTAGACGGGCTATTCTCCGAAAATGGACCCCCAACTGTCCCCCTAATCTATTAGACATCAAACAAGAGCTCAACTCTCTTTTGCGTCTTGACAGACTTGATCTAATTTCTTCCCCGACCTCCTCAAAAGAGACCCGTTATCTGGGTAAATGGGAATCTTACATCACAGGATCCATGTCTGCAACTGAACAAACATTTTTTCTCCAGAACTCTAGCCTACTGAGCCGCCCATAATACTTTCCTTGAGTCTTGAGTCATAGGGGCCATAGCAAACATGATTGTTCACATGTGGGGTCGATAACTATGCTGATATGTGGATTTATTTTTACCATACTTGCTCCTTCTCTGCTTTATTATGCTTTGCCTTTATATTTTACTTCTTGTACATTTTGACCATTTGATCAACTTCCTTGTATATACACTAGGCTCTCGCTAGTTTCAGAATCCCACACTAAGCAACTGGAATGAGGTTTATCCCTCATTCCAATTTTCCTTTGATGGAACCCGAGGACACCGACTTCCTTCTCTTCTCTTATCACATCTCATCTATCTTTGTCCCTTCTCTCCTCTTTGTTATCCTTTTTTTTTTTTACCGCCTCTCTATGGCCTTAACTGGTCCCCGGACAACATCTACATCTCCATTTCCTAACTCTTAATATCTCATCACCCCTCCCTCCCTTTTTTTTTTTTTTTCTCTTCTTTGGTTCTTTACTGATGGTTAACGACTGACACCTGTATACATCCTCATCATCTAACTCTGCTCTCTAGCTTATTAGCTCTTCCCTCTACACACGTTATTGTTTCATCTCTTACCGCACACCCAATCACCATTATTCTACTGACCATTTTTTGATGTCATGTCGATGTTACATTGGTGTCATATTTGAGTTGTCATGGTGGTACATACCTTGTAAAAAATGCCCAAAAAAATTTTCTTAAAAAAAAAAAAAAAAAAAATGACACACTGAAGTCCTGTTGGAAGCTTTCTTTTCATTGATCTTTTGCTTGAGTCCTCCTTGGAGTTTCATTGAGTGCTAGAGTGCCCTAGTTGCCATATCACGGTTTTCTTTTTTTGGTTTTTCATATTTTTTATTCTTTTGCTGTGAAATTCAAGCTGGGGTATGCCCAATAGGCTTTGCTTTGTACAACCTTAAATAACCTTCAATAAATAGTATTTGAAAAAAAAAAAGGATTTTGTTATTCTATCCTTGACCCTTTAATGATGTTTCCTTATTTGGTGATGTAAGTGAAGAGCTTTCTGTTTAATTATGCAATGCTTAACAGGCACATGGATGACTCTCACACATTAAATAATTTTCTGAAAACTATTAAACATGTACTGTGTGTTTTATAATTACAAAATGATGCAATGAAACACTGTCTTACCCAGGTAAAATCAAGTGTGTCGTACCAACTGGGACAATTTCCATGGATTTCCCCCAAAATTTATTTTTCCACCGGATATCTGAAAAATAAATTGAAGGAGCGCTTAGTTTACCCAACCCTCAAACGTTTAAGATACCCATTGGGGTAGATTTAATAAAATTCAGAATCTGGTGCAGCAGTGTGCATGGTAGCCAATCAGCTTCTAACTTCCGTCTGTTCAACTGAGCTTTGACAATAAAACCTGGGAGCTGATTGGTTTCTCTGCAGAGTTGCACCCCCCTGTTTTAGTAAAAGACCCCCATTCTCTTTTTCACACAGAAAACACTATTGCATATTGTCACTAAGGCAGGCCCTAGCAAAGTCAAAAACCGAACAAAAAACAAAAATGGCACATTTGATTGTGTCATCATTTGTTTCATTTTTCAAAACAAAATCCAGTATGTTGGATCACGCACTTTCGATTGTGACATGAAAATCGAGTGCTACAGCTTGTGCACTAACAATATGAAAATCTTACTTTACAATTTTTATTTGACCGACAGACAAAGATTGAGACAGGATAAAGAACTTACTTAGCATATTAAGCATTTTACTATGGATGACTTTCGTGCATTGTGTGACCTGATGTTACTGTTAGAGGAGAATGGAAATTTAAATGACAGTAATAGCGATAATATCCCTATGAGCTGTGAAACCCAGGAGAACTTGACTAAAAAATTCAAATGTAAATCTCAGAAATTCCCAGACCTAACGATCAAAACTAACGTCTGGGCTTTCCCAACTACAACCATTAGTGATATCAAGTATATGAGTTTGAAACCCACTATGAGCAACCTTAATAGGAAACAAGAAGAAGCCATTGCTAGACTCCAGAACCATCCTGACCTAATCATCAAACCTTCTGACAAAGGAGGCAACATTGTTTTGGTGACAAAATTGCAATATGAACAAATGTGCAATTATATACTGCACAATACAGATGGTATCGTCCCAGTAGATTTGTGGCCCGATCTAACTTAGATTACAAAGATCTAATCAATGCGGCCTAGATAGAGGCATTAATTGACAAAGATACCTATGATTTCCTTAATCCAAAACACCCTCATGATCCTTCGTTTTATGCACTACCCAAAGTCCACAAAAATCCCCTGACCCCACCAGGACGACCTATCGTATTAGGGGGATAAGTTCTTTAACTGAAAATGCCAGATTTATTGACTTCTTCCTCATGCCCCATTTTGTGCGACTACCATCCTACATTGAGGATACTTCGCACTTTTTGAGACACATCGAAGGCTTGTCGATACCTTCTGACGCCTTGCTGGTGACTTTAGATGTAGAGGCTTTATACTTCAGCATCCCTCACGAGCAAGGTGTAAAAACTTTACAGGCATTTCTATTCGAACAGGAACGCTCCAAATGAAAATTCATTGAGTTCCTATTGAAACTTTTGCTTTTTATTTTGACACACAATTGGTTCCTATTTAAGGAAGTCCCACTACCTCCAGGTGCAGGGCATGGCCATGGGCCCTTGCTGTGCCTTGGCCTACGCCAATCTTTACCTAGGGGGGTGGGAACAAGACATTTTCTCCAACGAAGATATGGGTATTTTTCTCTATCATGCGTTATGCTGGTATATATATATTGACGATATCTTTATCAACTGGACAGACTGTTGAATCATTAAAAACCTTTGAGGACAAGTTAAATGTTAATCATTAGAATCTAAAATTCACACTTAACCATCATGTGTCCACTATTACTTTTTTGGATTTACAGATTCACAAAGATCAAAATAACTTTAACAAACTCGTGCAGACTCCACCTCCGCAACATCGCCAAAATCCGCACGTTCCTAACCCCTGAAACCACTAAACAGCTCATCCACTCCCTCATCATGTCACGACTCGATTACTGCAACTCCCTCCTCACTGGCCTGCCTCGCCGCTGGCTATCCCCGCTTCAGTCGATCCTGAATACGGCTGCCAGACTCATTCACCTTTCCAACTGCTCTGTCTCCGCCACCCCCCTCTGCCAATCCCTCCACTGGCTTCCGATTGCGCAACGGATCAAATTCAAAATCCTAAACTGACGTACAAAGCTGTCCACCATACTGCCCCGAACTACATCACTGACCTAATATCCAAGTACCGCCCAGCACGCACACTCCGCTCCTCACAAGACTCCTTCTCTCTAGTTCCCTGGTCTCCTCCTCCCATGCCCGCCTCCAGGACTTCTCCAGGGTGTCACCCATCCTCTGGAACTCCCTGCCCCAACCCATCAGATTATCACCTACTCTCCTCTCCTTTAGGCGCACCCTGAAAACCCATCTCTTCAGGGAAGCCTACCCCACCCCTGTTAACTTGCCGACCTCCTCCACTCTTCCTACCACTCCATCCCCCACAGCTATCTCCTCCTGTACCACTATCCCCTCCCTCCTAGATTGTAAGCTCGATAGAGCAGGGCCCTCGATCCCCTCATGTTTTGCATTGTATTGGCATTGTTCTGTCACATGTTCTGTCCCCCTTTGTAATGTACAGCGCTGAGCGAACTATTGGCGCTTTATAATTACTGTATAATAATAATAATAACTGTTTAGCAACTACTTTTTACTGCAAAACTATGGCTGGCAATACAATTTGCAAGCAGCCAGTGCCCATGCTCCGGCTTTAGTACGGAGTATTCCATACACACAGTATGTCTGTATCAGATGCAATTGCACCCATGACAGGGACTTTTAGATTAAGTCCAACCAACTACGCCAACGTCTTATGTTAAGAGGATATTCAAAATCACTGCTACGCAAAGCTTACAAAGCTAACAAAGAGCTTTGGGACAATCGAGGACCTCTCTCCTGTATCGGTCTACCAGGCATGGTAGTTCCCAACATCGGGTAAAATTTATTACTAAATTTTCATCTCAACATCAGGTCCTACGTGGGGTCTTACAAAACCATTGGTATTTATTGCTGGAGGACCCGATTGTGAAAAAATATATCAACAATTACCTTGAAATCATATAAAGAAAAGCCAAGTCTTTATGTGACAAACTTACTAAGAGCCATTATATGCCTTATCCAACTTACACTAAAGTCCACTCTGTAGGGATGTTTAAATTTAATCATTGTAATCTATGTCCTTTGATCAAATCAGGCAAAGTGTTTATCTTACTTAACGGGGAAACCTTTTGTCCCAAATTTAGTGCGGATTGTGACACAGAAGGGGTAATATATTTCATGACCTGTAAATGTGGGGCCTTCTATGTGGGCAAAACCATTAGAAAGTTACGGTCTAGAATAAATGATCATATTTACTATTCTGCCAATGGCAAAGTTATTACTCCAGTTAGTAGGCACCTAGACCTATACCACAGATTTGACACCACCATGGTTTCATTTATGGTATTAGAAATAATCCCAAAAGACTCCAGAGGTGGCAATTGGGATAAACGCATATTACAAAAAGAAGTGTTTTGATTGAACGGTTAAATGCCACATACCCACCGGGTATTAATGAAACCCTGTCTTATAAACCGTTTCTGTAACCTACACTTGGTGGTATTTAGGTGTTAAAATATGACAGTACAATGTAAGCGTTGTTATTGACATAGTCATATGTGTGTTATTTAGTATCTTCTCACTTCCGGATGCATGGGGTTATTGCACAATTGAGCCAGTACCAATGGCATGAACTGTTGCTATTGTATTGATTCTGGAATACACTTTATGATGTTTGCTACAATTGCTATGGTTGACTGATATGACATGCATCTGTGTGAGGGAGATAGTTCCTTTGGGGGAGGGGAGGCGCATGGTCCCTATGTTGTGGGCTTTGTGTTCGTTGGGTGGCAGGTGGAGCCGCGACAGGGGACTCCACCATGCTGGGCAGGGGTCTGGCAGCGGTGTTCTATGGGCATCACTGCTATATGCGGTGGTAGTCCATGATGGCCGCAGGATGTTGCCCGTGTGCTCGCTCCCCACCATCTTTATGATGGTTAGTGCGCGTGTGCAGTGTGCATGGGCGGCCGTACGTGGCTGGGCACAGTAATATCACGCGTATGTTGGGATCCCTTAAATCGGGAGGGTGGATGGTGCTATGGTGGTGTACATTCCTAGGCTACTTTGGGATCCTTTGCATGACATGGTGGTAGTGTTCCAGACTCCTGGGTGGTCTTAAGATCTCTTGCAGTCAATGCACTTTTGCATCTCTAAACAGGTACATTAGAACAGCTATTTGCTATAATGAATACGGCAATTCAATGTTAACTATTGGGATGTACCTATGGGGATATATATATATACATACACACACACACAGTTGTGTTCATAATATTAGCAGTGTGTTGAAAAAAAAATTAATAAAGCTCAAAATCTTTCTAATAGCTTTTATTTCCATACACACAAATGCATTGGGAACACTACACATTCTATTCCAAATCAAAACATGAAGAAAAATATATCAAATTTGTGTTGTTCCTCTAAAAAAATTGAAGAAAAGTGAATATTAGACTGTTCAAAAAAATAGCAGTGTTTGTATTCTTCTTTACAAACTCAAACATTCACTATATAAACTGAAAAATGTTTGAAGATTTTGCTTTCCTTTGAATCACTTAATGAATATTTAGTTGTATAACCACTGTTTCTGAGAACTGCTGTACATCTGTGTTGCATGGAGTCAACCAACTTCTGGAACCCGTGAACAGGTATTTCAGCCCAGGATGATTGGACTACATTCCACAGTTCTTCTCTATTTCTTGGTTTTGCCTACGAAACTGCATTTTTGATGTCACCCCACAAGTTTTCTATTGGACTAAGATCCGGGGATTGGGCTGGCCACTCCATAATGTCAATCTTGTTGGTCTGGAACCAAGATGTTGCACTTTTTACTGGTGTGTTTGGGGTCGTCGTCTTGTTGGAACACCCATTTCAAGGGCATTTCCTCTTCAGCATAAGGCAGCATGTCCTCTTCAAGTATTCTGATATATTCAAACTGATCCATGATCCCTGGTATGCGATAAATAGGCCCAACACCGTAGTATGAGAAACATCCCCATATCATGATGCTTGCGCAACCATGCTTC